TGTTGCGCAACAGACCTGGCAGTGACTTTCTTCAAGAGTATAGGAGTTGGGAAGTCATTTGAGGTTGTACAGGATATTGGTGAGACCTCTTCTAGAATACTGTGTGCAGTTCTGATTGCCTAGTTATAGGAAGGAAATTATTAAGCTGGAGAGGATTCAGAAAAGATTTACCAGGATGTTGCCAGGTATGAAAGGTTTGAGTTATAAAAGAAAGGCTGGATAGGCTGGGATTTTTTTCACTGGAGTGTAGGAGGTTGAGAGGCGACCTGATAGAAGTTTGTAAAATAAGCAGAGGTATAGATAGAGTTAAAGGTGGTTGTCTTTTCCCTAGGATGGAGGATTTCAAGATTGAGAAGCACATTTTTAAGGTGAGAGGAGATTTTAAAAATACATGAGGGGAAAATTTTTTACACAGAGGTTGGTTCGCATGCAGAATGAACTTCCTAAGGAAATGGTGGATGTGGCACAATTACAACATTTAAAAGACATTTGGATAAGTACATGAATAGGAAAGGTTTGGAGGTATATGGGCCAGGAGCAGGCAGATGGGACTAGTTTAGTTTGGGATTATGTTTAGCATGGACTGGTTGTACCGAGAGGTCAGTTTCCATACTGTATGAATCTATGACTCTGTAAGAGGAAGAGTTTCCAATCCTTCAATGCTGAGCTGATCTGTGACCACAACAAGAGCTTCCTCCATGTGTATGCTGCTACTCCTTCAACCTCTCTAGTCCAGGCTGCCTGCAACTTCCAAAATGTGTGGATGGATCCTCTGGGAGGTGCTGTGTTGGAAATAGGAAATTCAAGATAGAGGTATAAAGGAGATGCAACCAATTTCACCTGCTCAGCAGGTCAGCCATCTTCTGAAAATCTGATTCTAGTATGTGAATTAGTTGGTTAGCACCCTTGAATCCCTCTTTTATATAATCTCAGTCATTGTGCTGTCTGCTGTCCTCTCCATAACTCAGCACTCCTGGAGGCCCTGGAAGGAAATAGCTAATTATAGGAGGAGCAAGAGGTAAAAGAGAGAGGGAGACAGAGGGATGTGATGCCTAACAGCAAAGTGCCCCTGCCACATTGTAAGAAGCAGATCATCTTCCCCTCCCTGATGGCCTCCAACATTATTAGAACCAGGTTGGCATCAATGAAGCTAGGGTCCACAAATGTCATCACAGAAAGTTGGCTTGTAGGTACAGCAGGTAATTAAGAAGGCAAATGAAATATTGTCCTTCGTTGCTAGAGGGATGGAGTTTAAAAATTGGGAGATTGTTCTGCAGCTGTATGTGGTGCTGGAGAGGCCACACCTGGAGTACTATATACAGTTTTGGTCTCCTTACTTGATAAAGGATGTACTGGCACTGGAGGGGGCACAGAGGAGATACACTAGGTTGATTTCAGAATTGAGAAGTTGCCTTATAGGAGAGATTGAGTAGACTGGGACTGTAGACATTTGAATTTAGAAGAATGAGGGGAATCTTATAGAAACATATAAAATTATGAAGGGAATAGATAAGGTACAAGCAGGGAGGTTGTTTCCACTGACAGGTGAAACTAGAACTAGGGGGCATTACCTCAAAATAAGGCAGAGCAGATTTAGGACTGATTTGAGGATGGTTGTGAATCTATGGAATTACCTGCCCAGTGAAGCAGTTGAGGCTACCTTGTTGAATGTTTTTGAGGCAAAGGTAGATTTTTGAACAGTGAAGGAATTAAGGGTTATGGTGAGCGGGGGGTAAGTGGAGCTGAGTCCACGAAAAGATCAGCCGTGATCTTATTGAATGGTGGAGCAAGCTTGACAGGCCAGATAGCCTACTTCTGCTCCTATTTCTTATGTTCTTATGTCCATCCTGCCCTCAGTGTCACTTCCCCATCTCCACCATTCCATCTTGTTTTCCTCTGGTGTAATGGAAGACTTTGGCAGAGCTTTTCCTGTGGACAACAGCAATCTGCGTGAATATGCCAGCAGGTGTGTACCTGAATTCCACAGTTCATCGCTTAGGAAACTTGTCACCGTACCAATTAAGGTCTCACCCCCATGAAACTCTGAACTTCTGACTTTTATTAGAAGCAGTTTTCTGACCCAAAGCCAGACCTAGTTCCTGTTTCTTACCCACGGGCAGAAATTCGGCCCCATATTACAACACTTGCAATGCACATTCATATCTCATTTGGGTATCGTTAAGATACAACGTGTAATTCAAAATCTTGCCATGCTTACGCTTGTCAAGGCCATGGTATCACAAGTCTTTGTCAAACAACATAGCTGTAAAATTTTTCAGTATCAGCTTCCAGGATAGCTTCCTGTTTCCATAACAACAGTGCACTGTAAGGAAGTGGAATGGGGGGAGGAACTCAGTAAAATTATAATCACCAGAGAAGTGGTACTAAGCAAATTGTTGGAGCTGTTTGCTGACAAGTGCCCCGGTCCTGATGGGCTTCATTCTGGAATCTTAAAAGAAGTGACGAGCAAGATAGTTAATGCATTGGTTTTAATTTTCCAAAGTTATCTGGATTTAGGAAATATTCCATTGGGTTATAAAATAGCAATTATAATTCCTTTATTCAAAAAGGAGGGAGCCAGAAAACAGGATTCTTTTGTCTATTTATCTTAACATGTGTTAAAAGGAAAATGTTAGAAGTTGTTATTAAAAAATTGTAACAGAACACTTAAAGTTCAAGATAACCAGACAGTCAACATGGTTTTGTGAAAGGGAACTCATGTTTAACCAATGTAATGGCATCATTTGAGGAACTAACATGAGCAAAGGGGAACCAGTGGATGTACTATACTTGAATTTCCAGAAGGCATTTGATAAGGTACCATATCTAAAGTTATTATGAAAAATAAAGGACATTGTGTAGGTGATAGGATTTTGGCATGGATAGAAGATTATCTGGCTAGCAGGAAACAAGAGACATTAACGTTTATTTTCTATTTGGTAAGGTATAATGAGTGTTGTGTCACAGGGAGCAGTGTTTGGACCTCAGCCATTTGCAACTTGTACAAATGAAGGGATGAAGGAATCAAAAATGTGTTTGTTAAACATGCAGATGACAAAACATAAAGTAGGAGGGCGAGTTGTGAAGGGGCATGAGACTAAAAGGGTACTTAAATAGGTTAAGCAAGTGGACAAAGATCTGGTAAATGGAGTATAATGTGGAAAAACGTGAAATTGTCCATTTCAGCAGAAAGAACAAAAATGAAGCATTATTTTTAAAGAGTGAGAGATTGCAGAACTCTGATTTTCAGGGTGATATGGGTGTCCTAGTCTTACCAGACTATAGGGTTACCCCCATTAGAGGGAAATGACTGGTGGTGGTTTAACCTGAGGGTCACCATACCTCAGGTGAGAGAGGTTGAGGAGATTCCATCATAGTAGCCTCAGCCAGTGCAGGAATTGAATCTACACAGTTGGCATCACTCTGTATCCCATCCAGCCAACTGAGCTAACTAAACCCCATACTTAAGTACAGGCCACTGGTGAGATCCCATCTGGAGTAATGCATACAGTGTTCTCACCTTATTTAAGGAAGGATATAAATATGTTAGAAAATAGGAGCAGCAGTAGGCCATTTAGCCCCGAGTGTGGTTGAGTTGGTTCAACTTAAATTGCCTTGAATTGGCTCTGCCATTCTGAATCATTGCTTTTGTTTTCAAGCACTTTTCATCCATCTCAACACCATATTCTTGTGCTTTCCCTATATCCTTTGATCATTACTTGGAAGCAGTTCAGAGAAGATTTACCAGACTAATACCTGGAATTGGCAGTGTCTTGTGAGGAAACATTAGATAGGCTCAGCTTGTATCCGCTGGAGTTTAGAAGAGTAAGAGGCGACCTGATTGAAACATAAAATCGTGAGGGGTCTTGATTGGTGAGTGTGGAAATAATGAGAATAGACAACACGGGGTCTCTGATTTAAAAAAAGGTCACCCACTTAAGGCAGAGATAAGGAGAATCTTTATCTGCAGGTGGCTGATGGTCTTTGGAACTCTTTTTCCCAAAAATTGGTGCAAGCTTACTCCTTGGATATTTTTAAGTCGAAGGTAGATAGACTCTTGATTAACAGGAGAATGAAAGGTAATTAAGGATGGGTGGGAATTTGGAGTAATCAGATCAGCCACGATTTTACTGAAATGCAGAGCAGGATTAAGAGGCTGAGTTGTAGATGTTGGTCTATTTACCGAGCTGGGAGGTTTGATAGCAGGCATTTCGTCCCCTTACTATGTGACATCCTCAATGCTGCAGAGCCTCCTGTGAAGCGCTGTTGCCTTGTGCCAGTTTGAATTTATATGGTCCAGTTTTTGCTGCTTCCAGTAGGTACTGGTTCTGGCTGTGCATTGTAATGGTCGATATATCGGGTCTAATTCAATGTGTTTGTTGATGGAGTCCGCGGATGAATGCCAAGCCTCCAAGAACTCCTGGCTGTCCTCTGTTTGGCTTGTCCTATGATAGTGGTGTTGTCCCAGTTGAAAGTGTGGTTTTTTTCATCTGTGTGTAATGAAAGCAAGGACATCTGGTCATGTCGTTTAGTTGCTAGCTGGTGTTCGTGGATGTGGGTTGCTAGTTGTCTGCCTGTTTGTCCCCCATAGTGTTTTATGCAGTCTCCACATGGTATCTTGTAAACTACATTCATCGTGTCCATGGTATCTGTTGGGTCTTTAACCCTGGTCAGTTGCTGTGTTAGTGTAGCTGCTGGTTCGTGTGCTGTCATGATTCCTAGCGGTCTGAGTAGTCTGGCTGTCAGTTCTGAGGTGTTTTTTATATGTGGTATGATGGTTATTGTTTCAGGTTTTGATGTGTCCTGGTTGTGTTGTCTGTTGGCCAGGCATCTGTGGATGAAGCGTTTTTTTTCTACATAATTTGTATGTGTGTTCATTTGAGAGTATGCTATATGGAATGTGACAGTACATGAATTGCATTCATTTAAACTGCTAGGTTATTCTGAACATGACTGTTACAAAACTTCAGTTTGTATTACCTCACTGTCTTGAATGTTGATGAACTTATGCATATAGGAGTTAACATTCCTAATAATTGTCTCTGTTTTGACAGGTACCAGAGGTTTGAAAAGGCTTTTCTACTGGCGATAGATATAGGTGCTCGAGACCTCTTCTTGGTGAGTCATATCCTGTACATTTCCGTGCTGTATGCTAGTACCAGATTTGGTGCTGTTGTCAGCATTTGTGCTTTTTAAAGCAAATTGGTGTCAACTAGGCTGAAGGACAGACAGACGCATACACACACATACAGTCAGCCATTGTAGAACTGGTCAATGGTTCTACTGTGTCCTTTTCTTGACAATTTCTCACCATAGCCTTGGGCCTGTTTTGTATTTTGCAGTTAGCAGTTCAGACATTCAGAACTTTTATCTTATTTTAAATGGGTAGTGTCTGTCGGTGACACCTTTCTAATCTACTCCCAAAAAGAAGTACAGCTTTAAGAACCAAAATGCCATGAGTGGAACATGCTTAGGAATCTGAAAGCTTATGCCACTCTGACAAATTATAAAAGCTTCTGCAGGTACTTTTCAAACAAGAAAGTTAAAGTACAAAATCAAAGGAGTTGACACTTAACCCTTTTTTTGGACCTCCCATTTAATTAGCTACAGAGGTAAAATTAACCTGCCCAGAAAATCTTGTGTGAAACCCAGCATGTGATCCTTGTTTCCAGAGATCTTGCGCCACAATGCCACAGTGAGGCTGGAGGGACAAAGCACTTTGCTAAGTCTCTCAGCATGTATCTTCTGTGCAGGAGCTTTGATTGTATATAAAAGCATGAAAAGAAAAGGCCTTGTTTGGCAGGGGGAGGGCAATCTTTAAGTGTCCGCTGCTAATGAAGACATTGTAGAGGCTTTTCTGCAATTTTAGAAAAAATGTTACTGTTAATTCTTCAAATTCTGCTGTGTATCTTGGGGAAATAAAAGATTCAAAGAGAATAGGAACCAATCTTTGTTAATTGACCTTTGGTTATTTTTAAAACTATCATTCAATTTAATGTAAAATGCTCTGTTATCTAACTACCTGCAGTCAAAGCTGCTCTCGTGGCTTCCCACTTGGAAAGTAAGCCAGCTTGCTGTTGGTATTGAAACACCATAATTTGAAAGGGTTATTTGTAGCCTAATTGCTATTTGCTTTTGCTGATTTATTCACTCTTATTACAACTTTCTCTCTAGGAGTTCTCTTGTATTACCTGCATTTACACTAAAAGGTTAGGTTGAATATGTGTTGCTCAGCATCTGCCATATCGTTTTAAACCTAAACACTAGAACTGAAAGATTCAACCAGTGTGATGTGTTTTAATTTGTCCCCTTTAGCTATGACAAAGTTGTAAATTTTATTCTAAGTGACTTGATAGAAATTAAGAGCTTGCTGTGTAGATGAAGATTGGTCTCAAGCTGCAGGACAATAAATTACTGTCTTCCCACCTGATGTAGGGAGAAATATGTTATAATAAACATTGATTTTATTTCAGCATCTTCAAATTTAAGACAGCAAACATGAAATTAGATAGACAATTGAAAAAAAAGGGATAAAGAGCACATGGAACTGGGCACTTTAATGGAATTTGAACAAATATGAAAGATAAATATTAATATGAATTTGTTTGCCTAAATAGCCTGTCTGTGGGTTGGGAACTCTAGTTTTAGAACTCTACTTGAGTGGTGGGAGTGAAAGACTTCCAGGTCAGGGCAGAGATCGGAATCTCATTCGTAATATGAAGCCCAATTACTTTCAATAAGGATGCTTCAGCCAGCAACATAGGAGCTTCCTAATGCATCAAAATGCAGAATGAAAGAACATTTAATTTCACTTCTCTTCCAGGATTACTCTGGGTCACAAAATTGTACTTTGTCAGAGTGGCTGTGACCAGTGTATTACATTGGTACAACCTGACCACTATCCCTACAACTACAGGCATAACACAGCCAATAGTTGTCAAGGTCACTATAGCCTTGAATGTTATACCTCAGAAACTGCCCCCTGGCCCAAGGTGCCACAAGACCATTAGTCAATAGAGCACAGATATAAAGCAAGCAATTGACCCATTATTGAGAAGACAAAATCAGCTCATTCTCTCGTCATGGACTTGGCGGCAGCAGCGTAGGAAAGTTCTGTTTTTTTTTCCCAGGTAGTGAGAGTCAAGAAGGATTTGCCTGCAATCTACTTCAGTCACAAAGATGGAGAACAATGAAACTTAAGATTGTGATTTGTTATTTAATAGTTGGGGTGCTTTTGAGATAATCATACAGCTCTCAGTTATTTAATTTTGCATAAGTACCTGAATCACTGAGCGTACAGATAGAAAAGTATCCCTCTATGGAAACAAAGAAACACAGAGCAGGAGAAGGCCATTCAGCCCTTCAAACCTAGTCAACATTCAATATGATCATGATTAATCCTTTATCTCTCAATGCCAGTTGCGAGTTTTCTCCCCATATCTATGATGCCTTTAATATCTAAAAATGTAGCTGCCTCTTTACTGAATATTGGAAGTTTAATATATGGATTTAACAAGAAAAAAAGAATTATAAGTTGAACCTGATGGTGCAAAACCTGCGTATATTGTAAGATAGTTTATAGGGAAGAATCATATTGTGTCGTGCATATTTTGCCTAGCTAGTTAGTACATATATTCTGATCGTGGATACCTAGTGAGGTTTATAATCAGCTTCTGCATTTTGTAATTTCTATGCTGTGTTTGCTGCCTGCATTGATCTGGTTTGCCAATCTTCTGCCAAATACTTTGATGCTCTCCTAAGTGGGTAGTGACCTGTAACACTGAAGAGAGTCATCTAAGAAGTTCCTCAAGTTGGGTGCTGAATAACAGCAATCTTGATGCGTTGCCTATGAAACTACCAGTATAGCAGTCAGCAAACTCAAACTTTCAGGTTTAGGCCTTTAACATTTCCTGACAAGCCACGGACATTAAATAAATCTGTCCAGTCCACATACTCAGCAAGGTGAATCTCAGAAGCTGATCATTTGGCCTATTGTGTCCATGCTGCTCTCCAAATGAGCAAGACATATAATGTCACTTACCCCACCTTATCCCTGTAAGCCTGTACATTCTTCCTTTCCAGATAATAGTCCAATTCCCATTTGAACCTACCTCCCCACACACAGGCAGCGCATTCCAAATCCCAATCACTGCATGATAAAGTTTCTACTGTTAACATTCTGAATTTGCACCATGTTTTCTGTCACAAAACCAATTAAGCAAGTGGAAGATAATTGTAATTCAGTTCTTAACCTAGGGATTTGGGTTAACACTGTCGCATAGAACTTTATTGAACCTTCCTTCCTAAATTTGCACTATTTTAGAAACTTCAGTTTTAAAATTTGACTTCTCTGTGTGGATTGAAGCAAAGTGTAATAAACAAAATAACACATTTGGAATTTACTGATTTGTTCACTGTTTTGTTTTGAATTCAACAGGACATTTATTATGTGGCTTTGGATAAGGGTGAGTTGGCCCTGGCTGAAGTGGCTAAGAAGAAAGCTAATGAGATTGATGCAGAATCAATAACAGCTGAAGTTGGTAAGAAATAATTCTTTGTAAATGATGAGGCATTTTTATTTAGATCAATCCCATTTAAAAATGCCTCAAATATAGGTCCAGCAGTATTGATTGGAGTTGGCAGTTAATTGACTTGAACATTCTTGAAAAAGATTTATCTGAATTGTATTTGCAGTTGTGCACTGTATTACGTTGTGAACGCTATAAACATTTATGTAGCCATCAGTCAAGTAAGTAAATTTGTGTTCTATTCACTGCAATACCACCCTAATCTCAGTATTTAATATTATTGCATTATGAGATATTGATAGGATAATTGTGAAGGGAAATGTATATTAGTTGGAAGCTGAAAGTTATCTTCAAGGAATCAAATGCTACACAATAATAACAGGGATCCCATGAAGCCATAACGCAAACAAATTTTACAGTCTCAGCGGAACCAAAAGGGTTTTCTTACGATGGAATCTGTCTCCTTAATGCTAAACCCAATTCAAGGGACTGCCTGCTTCTTCAGTGCTCAAGAAAATTCATTGCTGTATATTTAAAATTCTTGCCCTATCTTGAAGTCTCACCTTACCACTGCAATATCACCTGATGCCAATAACACCGACTTAATATTTTTATTAGAGAAAAAACATCTTGTTAAAAGAGTATGATAAGTACAATTGCATAAATCATAAATCCACTGACTTTCCAAAACAATTGCCTTTTCCTGTGCCATGTGAAGTTTAATTTGAGCTTTTTTCATACCAATAAGGATTCTTCTCTTGACAGTAGATCTGCGCTGAGAAATTGGTTTACCCCAGCTATTTTACAGGGAGCCACCACTCTTTTCAGTAACTTCAGCATTTTTTCATCCGAAAACTGAAGCAGGTAGAATTCTGAAATTCTGTAATTCTGTAACCTTATTTTAGTTCTTATTATTTAAGTAATCTGGGTAACTTTTTTAACCAAGCCACTCCCCAAACTGTGGATTGCCTCCATTGTCCAAAGCTGCACAATTGAATGAGTCCATGACTAAAATGTTGTTGTGAGTACAGTTCATAGAATCATACAGTACAAAAGAGGCCCATCAGCCATTGAGTCTGTACCACCAAAACTACACTAAATCTACACTAGTCCCACTTTCCAACATTTGGCCCAAGCCTTGAATGTTATGACATTTAAAGTGCTCATCCAACTACTTTTTAAAGGTTGTGAGGCTACCCAGCTCAACTATTCTACCAGGCAGTGCATCCCAAAGCCCCACCACCTTCTGGGAGAAAATATTTTTCCTCAAATCTCCTCTTAAACCTCCTGTCTTCCACTCTAAGGGTGTGCCTCCTTATTGCTGAATTTGCAGCTAAGGGGAACAGCTGCTTCCATTCCCCCTGTCCATGCCCCTTATAATCTTATACAGGTCTAACAGGTGTCCCCTAAACCTTCTCTCTATCTTGCCAAGTTGCCCTGGATCCCATGCGCTTTTACCTCCTTTTCAGTTTCCCATGTAGGACTTGCTGAAGTCCATGTAAACTACATCAAATGCTTTACCCTCATCTACACTGTTACCTTTGCCTAATCATTATCACCATCTTCTCGTTCCACCCCTTCCTTGTCATGCATAATTTCAAAAACCATATCATTCCATTTTAGACAGTTCATTACATGATGGTATTTTGAGTCACACATAAAATGCCAGTTGACTATTGTTGGTTTTAGTAGAACACTAGTTCCTTCTCGATCCCCTAATACTGTAAACCCTGGGCCACACAGGTTGCTTCCCTCTGTTGTATAAGTTAGTTGAAAGGCTTAACTTGCATCATGAGGATAGAAAGGACTGTTCCTAGGAGGAAATCACCTGTTGAATTGTTCTAATGTTTAATCCATGCAGTTAAACAGTAATTTGTACTCACTCTTAAGCATATCGTACAACACAGATGTAGTGTAACTAGCAATTAAGTAGTATGTAATAAACCCATTCTGTTCAACAAGACCAAGTTTCTGTTCTGAAGAAGATTTTATGTGGGCATCCTCCCCTCGTGATATCAGTAACTTAAGCTAAAAGATAGAGTTGCCAGCATTCTACTGGACCAGAGGGCTGCTTTCTCATTATAGAGAGAATCGACTCATATATATAGGGTGAATAGCAAAAGTCTTTTTCCCAGGGTAGGGAAGTCAAAAACTAGGAGGCATAAGTTTAAGGTGAGAGAGGAAAGACTTAAGGGGCAACATTTTCACACAAAGGGTGGTGGGTGTATGGAAGGAGCTGCCAGAGGAAGTGGTGGAGGCTGGTACAATTCTGACATTTAAAAGGCATCTGGGTGGGTACATGAATATGGTTTAGAGGGATATGGGCCAAATGCTGGCAAATGGGTCTAGATCTGTTTATACCATCTGTTCAGCATGGATGTTTGAACTGAATGGTCTGTTTTCATGCTGTACAACTCTTTGACTCTATGACTCATTACTAGGTTCATTCTTCAACTGTAGTCCCCTGGTTCCTGACATCTGTTAAAATTGCTAAATGTATCGCTATCCCCACTTCCTTTAGTTACGATTCTCTCCTTTCACATGGATGATCTGACAATAAAATGTGTTTCTGTACAAGAGGTTAAAATCCAAGCCTCACATTACAGTCAAACCAGCAGCACCCTCCCAACCATGGAAAAAAGAACTATGGTTAGGCTGCAGTTGACGTACTGTGTGCAGTTCTGTCACTGTATTAAAGGAAGGATGTGATTGTACTGAAGGGGGTGCATGTTGTTTCCTGGGATGGGGCTCTTTAGCTATAAAGAGAGGCTGGACAAGCTCAGGTTATTTTCTTTAGAGCTAGAGAGCGAGGAGAGGGGACTTGAGGTGTATAAAATTACGAGGGGCATAGTGAGGGTGGATAGGAAGCAGCAGCTCCCCCTAGTTGAAGGGTCACTAACAAAGGGGCATACTTCTATGGTGAAAGGTAGAGGTTTAGATGGGAGTTGAGGAAAAATTTTTTTACCTAGAGGGTGGTGGGAATCTGGAATGCACTGCCTGGGAGCATAGTTGAGGAGGAAAATCTCTCAAACTGAGGAGGGGTCACCAGACCCGAAACTCTAACTCTGATTTTTTTTCTTGACAGATGCGCTGAACCTGCTGAGTTTGTTACAAACTTTTGAAAAGTAGTTTGATGAGCTCTTGAAATGTCACAACATTCAAGGCTATGGGCCAAGTGCTGGAAAGTGGGACTAATGTAGATTTAGAGTAATTTTTGTCAGTGCAAACTCAATGGGCTGGAGGGCTTCTTCTGAACTATATGATTCTATCTCTATCATCCTTCTTGAAAAGTGGAACCACATGAGCTGTACACCAGTCTTCTGACACCTCCCCATGGCCAGAGAGGAACTAAAAATTTGGCTCAGAGCTGCTGTAACTTCACCTTCATCTCCCACAGCAGCCTGGGGTACATACACCGTGTTATCATTCTGTATTCCTACGCTTGTCCTCTCGGGAGCTTCCAGTTGGCCCATCTTCTTTTTAATGTCACTGACATGTTTAAGATCCATCGTCCCTCCCAGTACTCACTGAGCTGCTTTGACTCTTAGTTAAGCAATGCCCTTATTTTAACATTCTCCCTACCTGACCTTACCCTGACCTGTTATCTTTTCCAGTCCTACAATTCCCTGAGATCTGTGCACTCCTTCAATTCTGACCTCCCCAATTTACATCACTGTTTCTTCAGCTACCTGAGCCTAAAACTTCAGAAAATCCTTCCTAAACTTGCTGCTTTGCTGCACATTATCATTGTTACGGAATAGCAGGGGCAATCAACTTTGAAACATAAAATTGAAATTAAATGCAAAATTTAAAAAATAGTTACCAAGGGATAAAGAAAATCTGGAGAACTATTTTTTTCAGGTACTACATAGAGTTATAGGGTCACATAGACCCCTCGGTCTAACTAAACTAGTCCCATCTGCCTGCTCCTGCCCATGTACTTATCCTAATGTCTTTTAAATGTTGTAGTTGTGCCCACAACCACCACTCCTTCAGGAAGTTCATTCCACATGCAAACCGCCCTCTCTGTAAAAAAATTTGTCCCTCAGGTCTTTTTTAAATCTCCCTCCTCTCACCTTAAAAATGTGTCGCCTCATCTTGAAATCCCCCATCCTGGGGAGAAGAGAACTACCATTAACTCTATGTATACAACTCATTATTTTATAAACTTTTATCAGGTCACCTGTCAACCTCCTATGCTTCACTGAGGTTAGGAAATAATCTCCTTTTAAATTCAAGTAATTTTTCAGTATGAACAGAATGCCTTATTTTTCAAGGTTGATATTCTACAACTGTGTTACGTAGATTTTCTGATGAGGTTTCATCTTGGCCAGAAGCAATGCCATGGGAGAGCACTCCTGTACATATATCTAATGTCCATGTGTTAACATATTTTCTGGTATGACAAACATCAAAGATTGGAAAGTCATTCATTGTGAAGTGGAGATTCAATGTGTTATTTCGAGACAAGGTTATGCATGTCAGTAAGCATGTAGGACCATTTTGTTTTTGAGGAGACCAGGTCTCCCTCAATCCTGTACTTTTCACATGGGTGTAAGCCTCCCACTGAAGTAGTGCCTATGCACAGTAGAAGACTATGGTTTAAAAGTGCAAGCAAAACATGCTGTTGTCAAGGGGAAGTAGTAAAGCAGACAGTAAGTAGTTACACATGACATAGTTTGAGATTAAAGATATGCTATACTGTTGTGTTTACAGAGAGCGCTCCCACCCATTTTTGCTTGCAGGCTTAATCGAGCGGTATTATGATATTTGTGGTTTGCCTGGAGGATTTAAGGTGCTGTAAATGAAGGCATATTTATAGATGTCATGGGAAGTTATAAAAAGAAACTTAGGTATTGTAATTATATTTACCAGCTTTGCTGTTTTCTATTTAATAATTTACAATGATTTTGCAGCCTGCATTTGTTTCTGTTCCATGGCTTCGTTATGTTCCACCTTCTCCTCTTAATGTACCAGAGCATCAACAATAATGCTTCTTTATTAGACAAAAT